AGAGAAGAATGCGGAGTGTAATTTCTAATTATAAGTTTGAAATTGTCAGTCCGCCTTGAGCATTAATGGTGATTATTCTCAAACATTGTGACGCCTTTGCTCAGCAGTGGGCACTTGGGCTTATGACGATGATGATGAGACCAGTAGATAATTATGGTTGGTAGACTTGGAAACTGAACTGACTGAAGCTGAAAATCTTTGAATCCAGTATCAAATCCGTATTGCCCTAACGGTGCGAGACAAGAAATATTTCACATTTTATTTTACTTGTCAACACCGTCTTCAACGCAGAGCTATTAGAAAGTGAAAAAAAAAAGGCTAAGAGAAAGGTCCGATCGACCGTCAGATGAAAGCCACTAGTGGCGATACATAGGCTATACGCTCCGACAGGGGCGTAACTAAATAATAAAAATAAATTATTTTTCTTTCTTTCTAACAACCTAAGGCCTTTTTTGGCTGTCGCCCAGGGCTACCTGGACTCAAAAGGGCTCCAGAAAAAATACTTGAACATAAGTAATGGTGAAGGATCTAACTATAGGCAACGGAATCAAAGACCTTGAGATTCCGTCGCCTATAGTTGATTCCTGCTTTGAGCTGAAGTTTAGCATAGAAATATCGTGGAGCGATGTGAAGGGTGAAGCTTAAAAATAGAATCTCTGTGGATGTCCAGATGTCTACTTCTTCTAGGAACTTCAAGTCAAATGATTAATAAATACACTCAAGGATACTTTCAACACCAGTCAGCAGTCACAAGTTAGGTAACGGTCTTTTCAAAAAGTGTAAGTAGGTAGGTACGTATTTTTCTTAGAGATTTGGGTGTCGTATTGGTTAGTTTTATAATGGGAGATGTTTCTAAGCAGTGCCAACTGCTTAGCAAAGGCTATATATATCACAATACCTTGAAGCACTCACCTCTGAACCTATGGATCCCTCTAGTAGAAAAGCATTCAGTTTTCTATTGAATAAGGATCTATTATTGTACTTAGTACTGATTTTTAATAACACTTTCGCGTTTTATATTAATAGATAAGTTTTAGGTAGTATTAGGTTTATTCGAAGTAAAAGGCAATAGACAGGACTTGAAGTGTTTACCTACTTAGATAAAAATAAATTAAAAACTTCGTGTAAAGTGCTACTTAGACTTAAAATATGTAAGTAATAAGTACTTAAAACCTACTTGGGGTCTTGTACATAAGAGAGTTTGTGTTCGATAGTGGACTTCATATCCTCTGGGAGGGTTTTCTCTGGCAATACAAACGTAACACTATACTAGATAACTTTTTCAATAGGTTTGTTTTAGTCACAGACTTTGTTGTAGACACTTAGGTTGTCTCTGGTTTAAGTACCTACCCATGATGGAACTGAACTGAACCTGGGACGCGGCAGACTTCAGTGTTTCAGTGTATTATATATCTATATCTATTGTAGATCCTGGCCTTTAGGAGTTGATGCGGGTTTGTCCCGAAAAAACAGCATTTTTGTATAATCTCTATGGTTTTATTTGTTAGGTGAATCGGAGATCGCAAAAGGCTTAACAAAGGGACAAACTGTCCAGTTTATAAAATTTGTAGTCCCTTAGCCGGCTCTTACGACACCCCCAGGATGAAGAGGAATTGTGATACCGATAATTAATATATTACGCAACATTCATTTATTTTTTTCTTATTTTATCCAACACCTAATGAAATCTCTTTTATTAGTTTTATGGATAGATACATGATATACTTATGACGCTTTGACAGTGAGAATGGTGTTCGATATTTTAATAAAAAAACAAAACATTGAAAGAACACGTGATTAAATAAATTTAAAGTATCATTAGATTGTTTCTAAAGCTCTGAGTACTACAAGGTTCAGGTATGGCCATGCTGTTAAAGCAGCGGTAAGACCCCTCTTTAGGAACGGGCTGTAAGGCGCCACGCCGTCTTCACCTTCCGCCTGACGCAGGTGCTTACCGGGCATGGCAGCTTCAGTAAGTTCCTGTTTCGGATCCGGCGGGAGGAAACGCTCCAGTGTCGTTAGGTATTGTTAGGACCACCGAGAGCTCTGCTCCACCAGAACCCATTAAGGCGGTGTGCCCTGCTCGGGCTGAGCACCGCCGAGTCCTCAGGGAAGTGATCGGTGGCGGCGAACTCTCACGCCCGGCCTTATTCGAGGCCATGGTGCAGAGCGAGAGGAACTGGGAAGCCGTCTCCTTTTTCTGCGAAGCAGATAAGCAGTTACGCAAAGAAGGAGGCGGACCGCGTGAGGGAGCTATCCTTCTTCTCACGCCCCAGCCGCCGCAGTAGGCGACACTCCGGGTCTCGGGGATCGAGAGACTATCTTCGGCCACCATTATCGCGGGCCTACGGACGGCGCGATAGAGTAACTCGCCGCCCGACCAGAACCAGACCCCCAGCGTACCTACCTACGGCGCATAGCGTTCTGTGCGCGCCTCCAAGAGCCAATAGACCACCACAGACGGGGCCCTTTACGGCTAATGTTCAGCGGGGCAAGCGCAATGAGGCACCGCAGCCTCGGCCGAGGCAGAAGAAGGACCGGGGGATTATCAGTCAATAAGAGTCTGACACTCCCGACTTCCGAAGCTGGCCGGGAGAAGTCATTGGATGATTTTCCCTTCATAAAAAAGGGTATGGCAATAGGGTAAGATGTTATACCTATTAAACTAATAAGTATCTAAACCTTTTTAATCTGCCTATCCATTCTAGGATCTGGAGGTGTGATGTTATATTGTCTCTATCTCATTACTTATCGATGTAAATAATAACACATAATTCTACATTTTCGATTTACAATGCCCGGAATAATAATGCGAACATAACGCAACCTAGTTACCTAGAAACATTGACATACATTTCTGACGGTTCACTGGAATAACATTCGGCACCTGCCTATTCTATTATACCTTCGAAATCGGATCTACGAGTAGTATTGAAATTGATGAAAAAAAATAATGTTTTTGAAATACATAAAGTTACGTAAACAAAGGTGCGTATTATTCGCAGGAATGAGCAATACCTAGGTATCAAAGCGTATTTCTGACTATTGTAGTTCAGTGCAATCACACTCAGACGTCTTTAAAAAATGTACAGGTACCTAAAATTATATTCACTCTATTCTATTTCTGCAACCTTACGGAAGGTCCAGGGCCATTTTTGTAGGTCGACTCAGCTTGATACATCAACGGCTATGAGGTACCGACTCATCATAATTATTATAACTTTGCACTTCCAGCAGCAATTTACGCATGTCAGTTTACGTGGACAGAAGAATGTGCTACATCATACCCAAACAGCAACTGATTTAGCGTGACAGCCGTATAACAAACGCGTGTGAGCGCCTTGGGTTTCAGATATCAAGGTGAGACGGCAAAGAGGTTCACCGCCTCCCCGGAGAATCTGTGATACTTACGTATATTGCAATGACAATCCCAACACAAGTGCAAATTTGTAACTTACTGGGACTGTCTCCAGTGTTGTATAAAAACAATGTTTGAGATGAATAAAGAGATTATTATTATTATTTGTATGTCTTTACCAATCACGGGACCACAGGGTCCCGGTCATTTGGGAGGCGTACGAGGGGCCGGAGCCAACTGCGCAGAGGCCCCTTAGACAACTTTAATCTAAATGAAATGGGACACAAACCGGCGACTATCCCTGTATGCACTATGGAAATACACCCAAGGACAGTCCCCGGTTAGTGTAGGACTATTGCGGATAATGAAAGCAAGTAATAAGGCTATGGGTGTGGGTTGTTTTGGACCGGTATGATGGGAACTATGGAAGGACTATGGCACCTGCCGAAACAATGTAATTTATACACGTAAAAATGGCAGGCGGAGACTCGCCAACTCACCGACCGGGCCCCCGGGAATGGTTGCTAGTAATAGCAACAGAGGGACAACGGAAATGTGAGTGGCTGAAGGGTGAAGAAACTGCCACCAGCTTTCTACTCAGATCATCTGCATCTGCCTAAGCATCCTGCATCACTGGCCCACTCGCCGCTTACGAACAGCTTCCACCCTCCGAGCAGGATCACTACTCTCGCGACTCCACTCTGGACGGCCAATGAAGGCAAGCCAGAGGCGGGAGACCTGTTCCTCGTCATCGTTCACTCCAGCCAGCCAATAAAGGCAAGCCGGAGATAAGGAACGGTGACTCCTCCCTGGAGCAATCGGGATGATGGTAGCCCGCGGGATCGCTAATTCCCGTCACCTCGCCTCAAGGTGCCCTGCGGGCTTATTATTATTATTATTATATTATTACAATCATGACTCTCTAGAAGTCTAGGATGTAACCACCAAAGAACACGCAGTATGGGCTCCAGCGCCTTTTATGGCGGGATGGAAGCAACGACTGTTTCGAGTCTCAACTGACGGCCAGGTTCACTGTTATCATAGTAGGTAAGTCCCCTCTTTGAGAAGCGACTAGAAATGCCACGGCTTCTTCACATCCCGTTCGACGCAAGTGCTTACTGGACACGGAAGTTTCTGAAAAAAGTACCTTTGTTTCGGTACCTGGCCGGCGCACACAACCTGAAGACACGCTGCTAGGGATGAGCTAATTGTACTCAGGGAAGCTATCGCTTTCCGGCCTCAATTCAAGCCCTGGCACAGAGCAAGGAGGAACTGGGATGACGACTCCATCTTCTACGAAGCAGTCATGCTAGCTACTGAGGAAGATCGTAGAAGCCGCAGGTTAAGATCCAGGGTCAGGGATCGTGAGAGCCAGCCATCGTAAGCTAAGCGTACTAGAACCAGACCTAAAAGTGCAGTGATATCTGGTTTTCGCGTGTTTACTAGATGGGCCAAGTAGAGCCTCTTTGTCCAACTGCATGTTTGCTGCAGCAGGCTGGATGTTTATTTCTAATATTTCGTGAAATAAAAACTTTATTTATCTTCGCAAAATGTCACTTACTTCAATGTTCATCATCATCTAAACAATAATAGAAAATCTACCAACTACCTACAGAAAGGCAAGTTATAAAATAAAACGAACTCCATATATTTTTTTATTTATTAATCCAGAAATTATTACTACACATGTATTCACCGTTTATCGGTCCGCTTAAAAGTTATTGTAAGTGATAAATATTCAATGATTATCTCATAAAATGAATCCGTCTACACATTTGTGAACAGAAAACTAGGATCTCTAATGAAATGTTAAACCAGAACTTAATGTTAGTGTTATTTAAAAATAGCTCCAATGCCCCACCGAATAATTGCAGTCGGGTGAACAAAACAAATGACTGGGATTTGAATGCACGTCTCGTATACTGCCACACTTCTCTTGCTAATGTCGGTCAAAATACAAAATATTTTTGGCAGCAGAGTGAGCAACAAGGCCACGTCCCTAGTAAGGGGAAAAGCGGACTCTTCATTTATTGCATGGAAATAAATAAGTTTTTTTTGTCACAACCCACACAGCCCCCAATTAAAAAGAAAATACAATCGCGATATATTTTCTGGGTCAGCTTGTATGGTAATGCACATCATTCGGTGGGATCTTAGAAGAAAATAAGGCTCACAGGCCACAAACTCACACCATTTCTCATAAAAAAAAACTTAATGTAAAATTCATTTAAGTTCAAAACACAATAATAACTTGATTTACGCTAATAAGCGAGTAAGTAGATAAAATCAGTGTGAAATTACAGGAGGCGCACTCGAATTAAGTATTCCAAGTATATAACAAAGAAGAGTGAGCTATTAACAAATAGGATCAACAGAACATGAAAAGTTAGAGAAAGTTAACAAAATATATTGACAAACAATTGCACGCGCGTACGGACGATCGAGAAAGACAATAGTACTTATTTACTTAAGTACTGGTATAGTACGTGTACGGGAACTATTTTCAAATACTCATACGCCACTTAAATTAACCAAAATCTTTAGTGTGTTGTGTGTGTAGGAGACACGACAGCAAACTTTATGACAACAGGTATAATACAAAATCTATTTAGTCCGTCAGTTAAGATTATAAAAATAATAAAAACACTATTATTTTTATTTCGCCATATATAAAACAATGTTACAAAATATGTTAGCTGTCAAAACGCTATGCGATTATCGATGACACTCATGCGGTACATTTTATTTTTTTGTTAATATTAATAAAAAATACATCATCGTAAAGCCTAATGGTTGTTGGTTATTGAGGTATAATGCTGTCGATGAGGGGATAGATGGGAATAATGAAGCTGTCAGCAACTTTATATCGAATATATTGCCGATTGAGCACGTCTTACTGCAACAGCTTATGACTGAGCAGCCTGCGATACGGTGCCCTCTCCAGAGTACGAAGGGCGATTCTCCATAGTTAGTTAACCACATGGAGTATAATAATAATTCTACTTCTTAGACGCGTCGCATAATAGTGGAGCCTTTTTATTATGAGTAATGGCCAAGAGTAGACGTGAGTAAAGGAGTAGTGAATGTAAAATGACGAAGACAAGGGAGATAGAACAGACCTAGGAACAATTGACGAAGTGACTGGGTCAAATGCATAGATGATTGGGACCGTTACCGTTGAAGGGATTAAGTCAAAATTATAGTGGATCCAGTATTTGTACCTCTTTTAAAGGGTTGTTCTAATTGTCATTGACCACGTCATTATTATATCACCCCTTATTATTACATAAAAAAAATACTGAAATAAAACGAATTGAAGTCACTACGTCACCGCTCAGTATAAAATGCAGAAAATTCTAAAGAAACACGATATTTCAAATCAATATAACATCGAAGGTTTTTAAAAAAACACAATGTGATTTTTTTTTTTTGTTTGCTATGATCACACCAGAAAATCGCCATCACTATAATTTAACTTAAGTTGCGTTCGAGTACTGAAATAACAGACTATTTTCGAACAGCAAACACCGATAATTGCTCACAATTGTGAATTTATGCCAATAACAACATGTACGTCCTTAATGCGTAGAAAAATTATTTTAAAAAACACAGAATATCTATTTGATTATTGTTTATGACGTACAGAATTGACAGACATCTGAAAATATTTACTGACTATGTAATTGAATAATTAACTAATTTTCTACTATTACATTTATGTCTAATCGGCGTCTTAATTGTATGATGGAGACGATCAATTTGAAGTTAATATTATACTTAGACAATTATGGGACCGAGTTATTTAGGACGAGGATAAACACATTAATTGTAGACATCGATCATTTCTAGTTCTAGTTTATAAATCCGCGTCAAATATCAATTCAGACTCTTCATATCCAAACCTTGTGTTTCAAGCTCAATCATTGTGATTTATCGTGTGCGAGACACCGCAGACTTGTAGCCCTAAGCAAACCAAAATATTGAGCAGCTTTGATATTTGATGAGAACAGTTATTACAACTATTATAATAAACACATATTAATTGTAGACATCTATCGTTTATGGATAATTATTTAAGTTTGATAACTCGCTTACTTAGGCGATATTACATTCCTAACAATTTACTGATACTACTTTAATATTGATTAATTAAAAGGTTGAATTATTTTTAAACCAATTGTTTGAACGGTACAGCAAATACCCGATTACTTGCGATAACAATTTTCTGCCTTGCCAATATTCATAAAATATTATTATTTACCAGCTTAATTAGGGTCGACACTGATTCTTAGCCCAATTGACCGTATGTCCGTATTTTACAAAGATCGAGCCATCACAACCATCATCCCTTAATAGAAGTTATTTTTAAATAAGGAAAAACTACATAGTTGCGTTATAATAAAAAATCATTTCACATGAATAAATTAAGTTTGATAAATTTTATATTTACAAAATTAATAGGTAGGTGCGTATTCTGTAAACAATTTGGTACATATAGAGTAATATTTAATTAGAAAGGACAGCTGAACATACGATAACAAACCACTTTCCCAAACAAGGCTATGTTCAAGTCATTAATTTCACTTTTATTGGCAACTTTTCGCTTGTCGTAAGTTTTTTTATAGATATAACTATAAACATGACTTTTTAGCTATCCTTTACTAATTCAATGCGACCAAATAAATTAACTATTGAATATCACAAGATCACAAGATCCAGACAAAATAACTGTATTTTACACAACAAAGAAAACAAATGCGCGTCTTAAAATTTCAAATAGATTATCAACAAACATTTCTTTAATTTCTTCAAACGAGTTGCATGCAGGCAGAGGCCTAGGTTAGTATAATCGGGTTTCCACTGTATATAAGTTACAATTATTTTATCACCTATTGCATTAATTTAACATTTAGACATTGAGAGACCATTTGAAACTATGAACCCTAACTGCAAGCTGTAAATATGTAGAACACCGTAAACTATAAAGCAAAACTACTATTGAATAAGCCGAATATAATGGCTTACAAAACTATTTACTCCTCCTCCTGCGGTTGCCCGCCACCGTTCTCTTGTGGCGGCGTTACAGTACTTGTCCTGAAAAGACAAGTGTATTTTACAACGTCATACAGATAATAAAAATCAATACTGGAAAAGAACGGTCAATAAACAATTATTGAACATACTTATATAAGATTTTTAGATATACACATTCACTTTTTCTGCTAAATATAGCTTGTCTGTGAAATATGAGTCTATTGTTTCTTCTGAGATATCTTCAATAAATTAAAACGTTGCCTTACAGTAGAATTTTGTTCTTTGTCGTGGGTGCGTTGACAAACATACAAATTCCCATACACAAACCACCCAGACCTGTTACAAATCCACCAATTGTTGTGACAATTGGTGGATCTGTGTGAAGTGTCTCAAATAATAAATGCTATCAATGTATTATACTTTACGTACCTATTCATGTTGATAAATCGAGCAGCAGACGTGAATCGCGTTGCATCGTAGTCAGTAGAGTTTGCAGCACGCTCCCGAACATAGTTCCGCATATATTCACGGAAAGCGATGCGCATCGGGGCATTGTCCTGTGCTTGTGCTTGCATGGTAGCTGGCCGGTCATTGGCTGCTTCACGCAAACTCTCTGCCAATATTATAGATAGCTTTTTAAAACATAACCTCTAAATAATGTAAAAGTAGGTTACGAGATACCATGGATAATTAATTAAAATTATTTTAAAGTAAAAACTTAAATAAGAATATGTACGAACCTTCCATGAATCCGTTCAGTGTGGTCGGCGGCCGAGTCTGGCGTAGGCATCGACGCTTGCGCGACGGCATCCCCGAAATGTAGGCATCACTGTACGGCTCCTGCGGCTCCGGTCGCTGATTCTGTTGATCACGAGTGAACACTGGCACCCACTCCTCGCCCCAATGCTGCAGAATCATCAGCGGCGGTACCTGCATAGCGCCCGGTACAACCAAACATTAAGCAGTGCATGTGCAACGCGAACTAACGCAATCGTGCCACCAATTTCTCAATTATTCCACAATTACGCTCTTTATATTTTTCCACTTCCACGCTTCCTCACTGCTTACATAAACATGACGAAAACTCAACACAATATAACGGCTCCAAGATTTCCGACTCGAAGTAGGTAGGTGCTAATTTATTATTCCTAAAAATTTAAATGCAGTAGCAATTGGAAATTATAATTTGGTGATTTGAAAACACGTTGTCAAAAGGAACACAATCAACAATAAAAACGATGTTTTAGTGTGAGTTTGGTTTTCGTTTTGTAGTGAGTAGATATAATTTTGGGAAGTTTCCTTAGTTGAAATTATTTCAACAGATAAAACCACAAAACATACTTAAAAATAATCACACTTGTTTTATTGGTAATAAGTATGCCATTTAGTGTTAAAAACTTACGCCAAACGTGCTATTTCATACAACATTTATAGAAAATTAAAGTTTGTGATATTTCAAAAAAGTATTGAATTTGACAAATTGTAATCTGCCCTGCTTATGTATTGTACTATGTGGTGACATTCGATTGTATAGTAATGTAACTGAGACTTACGAATCGTAAGTTTTGATCACTCGCGTTGCGTGCCGGAGACGCCGGCTCACTCCTTTCCTTCGGGGTCCTAGATAATTTCCAAAAATTAATAGTACACAAATCGGCACAAACGTGCTACTAAATCTACAAAATAAAAATAACTTGATGGTTATTTTATTTCCCCAAGAAGAATAAACTTTTAATCGGCCGTTAGTTTAGTTGGATTGTGAAGATGGTTTGGCCCGTGGAGATGCATTTAAATATAATCTCTTTATTTTACTAAATTAGCTAATTATGCAATAATTACTGATGTGATTGTGGTTTATTGATAATGGTTAGGTTATATACATCGATGATTAGAGCCAATAGAAGCTTTGCTAAAATAAAATTTAATTTTAGTACTAAAATAGTTCTACAAACTACACCGGTTGTCGGCACTTTGTGTTATCTAGCTGCAAGAAATTCATGCAGAGCAAATGCCTGCCTGATAATACCAGTAGAAGGAAAGGCAATTTATCCGCGCGTCTAAAATATAGCTGGTTCTGCCCGCGGCATAATGTGTAGAAGCCATGAAAAAGCAAGTAAAATAATTACTTATTAGAAGAGAAGAGAATTCAAAATCTTGCATCAGGGCCATTTGAAACTAGTACTAAGAAAAATAAAAACAAAAAAACAAGAGGCTCAACGCCGAAAAATATTAAGATCCGAACTAAGCTATCGGCTGATTAAAAATCTTTAGTCAGGGGTACCTTAGAACTCACATAACACGACTGGGCGAGGTGATTGGTGACTGTGGGGCTGTGTTGGAGGTGACAGTGTGCGAGGCGGCGCTGGTCGGCGTCGCTGACACCGTGGAGGCGACGACCTGCGCTGACCCCGAGCTCGTACTCAGCGGGGTCTCTTCTTGTACTGACGGAGCTGCGCTGGACTGAGAACTCTCATTAGTTATTGCTGGCTCTTCAGGAGCCGGTTGTGACGACGGTGACACTTCCATTGGAGTAGGTTGCTCGTCCTCCAGCGGCGGTGGCTGAAATATCAATTAAATAATCTCTTGCCTCACACATACTACTTTATCGTCAGATTACTTACCGAAGGCTCTGAGGGCACTCCCGGTCGACGATGAAGATGTTGCTGAATGTGGGCGCAGTGGGAACCCAATGTGTTTATAATAGCATTCAGGTTCTCATTGGCAAGTACTAAGACCATTTCTTGAATAGATTCGTCGAAATACCGAATTCTAAGATCCTGTGAAAAGAGTTTTACGTAAAAACCCATTAAAGATTAAGGTAATAATATTAAGCTATAATCTAAGGCAAGCAAGTATTAAAACAAGTGCTTACCAAGAAAGTCTTGTAAAGCTGACGCAAACCATCAAGGCCTTCAACGCATAAGTGTGAAATCAGTGTGCAGAAATCGGTATAGAGCCGGGAGAAGACAGCATAAAATCGAGCAGGGTACATCTCCCCCGTGGAGTCAGACATAACTGCGCTGATCAGGGCAGGGAGGCGAGCACGGAACAATGAGCGTATTGAGCCGTACGCATCAAATTCATCACGTAGCGGTGTAATATTACTCTGTGAGGAATAAAATACATAAAATATTAGTCATTTTAAATCAACTTAACAAAATTAGTGTTGAAAAATCTCTAGAAAATTTTGATATGCTGCCATTTTACTTCGAAGACTTTTGTTTATCAACGATATTCATTTGATGAACAGAATAATTCGACAATTCTTATTTCGAATAAACAAAAAACACGAATTTGAAAAAGGAGAAAATTAAAGAGTTACCATGCTGTTGATAAAGTCGCGAAATTCGCTGACGAAGAAATCTGTTACAGCCAATACTGAAGTGTCGGACCCTTGTGAGTTAGCCCTAGTAGTTAGATTATGTATATAGTTGCGTAGTAGAACGCGCAGTTGCATGAACTCGTGGGGAACGAGCACCGGTTCTCCGTTCATCGATTGCAGTGGTTCAGGAAGGAACAGGTGACGAGCCTAGAATGCATAAAAGTGTTTTAAAATGATTGATTAATTAATATAAGTATTTTTGGTACTTCAAAGCATACCATGAAACGGAGCGAATAGGACTCGCAGAATAGGTACACAATGAAATGGTTCTAATATCTATTTATCCCCATCCATATCTATGAACCCCTCTAACTCTTTTTACCCTGTTTTAACTGTTAGTTATTGTTTCTATAATTATCTGTAAGTACATTGTATTATGAACACTTTTTATCTGAGCCAAATAAGTTTGAATTTAAAAAGTGATTTGTATGAACAATTAGGCACACAATTTCACCGTGTACCTCTCTGAAGGAGATGAAACAAGCCCTTATACTTACAACAGTCAGTAAGAAAGCGCTGAACCAAGATTCTTGTGAAGGAGCGCTGCTAAGAAGACGTACAATAATGGTCATGTGCTCCTGGAAAGTAAAAAAATGTTTAATAAAAAATATTTGTACCACACAATTTTATGTTTACTATGTATTTAGGAACTCGATAAGCAAAAGCCATGGTTAAGGACTCGTTCACAGCCATGTAACAGCAGTTGTTGTCAGTTGGCTGCGGCACTCTTACTATTTCGTCTATACATGGCTATGAGCCCTGACATCTATTACGAACGACACGTTTATGACGTTCAGCGAGCTGATTGGCCTTCTCCAAGTAAACCAACCAATCAGAGAGCTAACTGCAATAACTTTTCGATCGTGAAAACGTGAAGAACAGTTGCAGTAGGCACTTAGGCTAAGCTAAAGCCATATTTCGTGAAACAGCTATTTGAATCATTATCAACTGATGTATCAATCAATTACAAAGTACTTACGTCATTAATGTGATGGTTTCTGTGCATCAGATATTCGATATTTTGTGCGGCCACTCTTTCGGCTCGCGCTCGTTCCTGCTGAACTAGCTGTTGTTGTTGTTGCTCCCTAAATAAGATAAAACTTGTTTTACAACTCTCACATACATTATTGACAAGTTTTTTTTTTATAAATTCAAGGATCATTGTAATCAATTGGAGTACTTAAAGTTACACAGACTAATTAACATAAAAGTTCCTACTTATACTAATAGAAGGAAAAAAATGTCATTTGAATAAAAAAACATTCTTTCAACAAAAGCTCGTAAAAGTAATAACTTATTTTATATACCTGCGACGCTGCAGGCGACGCCGGGCATGCTGACTATCGCATTGCAAAAATCTATCGTAGATCAGAGTAGCTAGAGACACGGCCTGGGCGCGAGTAGTGGTTGTAGCTCGGCGAAGGTGCAGACTCGCAGCTATCGACAAACAAAATTTCATTAGTTACCCAACCAATTATAATCTCATACAGCCAATATAAATAAAATATGTAGAAGGAATTTCAAATAGTTACTAAATAAAGTAAAGAATACATACGTTGTGAATTCGACGTGTTGGTCGAGTTCGAGTCCTGGCTGGCTGGTGCAGCTGTCTGTCCGGTGGCTGCCTGTGGAGTTTGACCATTTTGTTGTGCAGCCTGTGCAGCTTGTGCAGCCTGCAAGGCCTCAAGCACTTGGTTAGGGTGAGGCGCTAGCAATGTTGCCGGCTGGTAATTCGGATTCTGAAGAGCCTGCAGTACTGGAGCCAGTTGCGCCGCGGTCGGCACGCTCGGTATGTGCAGGGTCACGCCCTCGACGCCAGGCACGAGGCCCTGGCGGATCACTGATGATACGATGTTTTGCAGCAAGTCGGCACTTGGCGCTCCGCCCCACGGCATTGGACCAACGAATACTAAAACAATATTTCGTTTATTAGCAATCTAATTAAAATAGAAAAAAGATCTTACTAATGATTTGGTACGAGAACGTAATATTGGAGTTACAATACCTCCGCCCTCGCCTGCAGCAGGTTGTGAGCCGGTAGTAGTTCCAGTTCCGGTGGCCGTTCCGGTTCCAGTACCAGTGCCAGTACCGGTGCCAGCACCAGTGGTTGTGGCAGTGCCAGTGGCAGTGGTAGTGGCTGTGGCAGTGCCAGTACCAGTGGTAGTACCAGTGTTAGTTCCAGTGCCGGTGACAGTGGCAGTGGCTGTAGCCGTAGTATTTCCAGTACCGGTACCGGTACCAGTACCAGTGCCAGTTCCTGTTCCAGTGCCAGTATTAGAACCGGTAAGAATTGTGCCAACGCCAACAGGACCTCCGTGCGGTATCTCCTCCATACTCATCACGACTTCTACTCCACCAAGACCGGCCGATTGGCTCAATCCTCTAAATAAATTCTCAAAATCTACGACAAATACAAATACATGGATATTTAATGGAATTAAGTACAATTCAATATTATGGCATGAAGCAAGCTATATATATTGCAAGAGGTATAATCTACATGACAATATCGAAATAACTGAGCTTAAATTAATTAAATACTTTGTTAAAGATTGAGCCGATGGCATTGACAAGTTACTACGCCACAAAGTTTTAACTGAGAGAGAGACAGATACGCAGTCACGGAAGAGTATTCCCCTCACCAAGCAGCGGGGTACTTACCTAGTAGAACTTGACGCCTGTTGGCGCCAGCGCCGTTATTGCCCTGTTCCTGAGCATTCACCACCGCTGCAGCGTTAGTCAACCCGTTCAGCAGAGCATTCTCTAAGGGGAATGCGATGGGTACCCTTGTCTCTATCTCTACTTGATACGTGATGGGATCTGGCTGAATGTTTATATTGACGGTCGGTTGGGTAGTCCTACCGGCATGAGCAGTAGCGTGGCCGCTTGGTTGGACACCCTGAACGCTCGTGATACCGTCGCCAGCGGTAGACGTTTGGATGGTGGGGGCCCTGTTGCCAGCAGGGCGGGTGGCCGTGTTGGTTGCTGGTCCAGTTGGTTGCTGGCCCGCGGGTTGCGCAGGTTGCGCCGGTTGCGCCGTCGGTTGTTGTTGCTGGGGACTCTGCGCAGTCTGCGGAGACTGTGACTGCGATTGTGGTTGCGAGGCCTGTTGTTGTGGTGTGCGTCGGTTAGACTGCACCACGTTGATGTGCGCCTAGATGACCAGATAGAACCATTAAAAAACTCCGATATTCTTCATTAGCCATCATCATGCATCGATTCAGAAAACACTTACCTGCATCGGAATAGGGTGACGTACGACGCTGGTATCAGAAGTTAGCCGTGGATTGCGCTGACCAACTTGGAAGTTGATGTCGCTGATGGCATGGTAGGCGTGCGCGAAACTGTGCATTATGTCTGTTACCATGTCTACAGTACGCTGAGCACTGACACGTTCTTCTTCTGTGTATACAGGTGGCTGCGGGGAAAAAGACGTTAGGTATGTAAAAAAGCCAGTCAAGTGCAAGTTTCTGTAAGGATTTCGTACCGTTATCTAAAAAATTTCATTATTCAAAAAAGATGATACAATCAAAAATATATCCTTTTTACTTACTTCAGGATTATTGGCTGCTCTAAGCATCCTGATGTAGTTGGCCCGGTACGGAGCGAATTGTTCCTGAAGTGTCTCCAGTTCTTCGAGTAACTGGGCCAGGTCACGTGGTCTGGTGTGGCGGGCACGCAGCGCTCGTATAGCCCTATAGCTTCTTTGATAAATACAATTATTATATATCAATAAAATGGTGAATAATTAACAGTATTTTAAATTATCTTAATAAAAAAAATATAATCATTTTTAAAATTATGATGATGAATAAAGGGCAGATTGCTTTTTAATTTGAATTTATTTCGCTAAAAGGTTTATTATTAAAAAGATATGTCAACCCTTTTGTACCTTGCACTACAGTGCACACATAATAAAAATAAAGTGGGAAACTTAACCAAACACTTAATATACATAATAAAATCAGGTTTTTACTGCCTGTATCAGTGTATACTTAATCGCTTTCATACTACTATTGAATTGGCTGTGTAAGTATATTTAGTATCCGACCTACATTCCAATTAATTAAATTAAAATTCTTATAGTATTCTCATCTCATGTGTCCAAAGTTTATATTCGTTGTTTTAATATTTATTGTAAACGTTTAGTTTGGTTCTGTTTGGGATTCGTAAAAAGTGTTGCCTATATAAATGGATGACGTGAATGTCAGCGTACCACGTCTATTTTTATCCCAACATTGTGGAAAACATAAGTTGTTAGGTATTACAACGAATACAAGAAGTCAAATGATTGAAATACCTTCTGCGTGCATTTTGGGCTCGAGCAGCGGCGTCGGTAGTTTCGTCGCCATTTTCGTCAAGTAGGGGTTCAGGCTGCGTAAAACATAAAAGAACATTTATAAATCTAAAAACATCACTTTCGTTTTACAACATGATATAGTTACACGAGAACAATCGAAACCATACAATAATGAACTGATGTTTTTAGAAATTTATCAATTCCAGAATATAAACATTACGGAAATAATACATTATGTCTGTTCTAAATTAAAACTTGACAGGTTTCTAAATAGCGATCACGAGTCTTTTAATATTTGACTTTCAAAGTCATCCCGAAATGTTCTACCACCTTTTATGAAAAGACAATCTTTTAATTAGCGGACAGAAGATAAATATACGGCGCATGAGGAGTCAAGCTTTAATAGTCATTCTATTCTTAACTTCTCATTAACAACGTCTGAGAAGTGATCGACATCATCAACACTATTAAAAAATAATCTCCGACCGACCAATCAGAATGATTAACACAGAAGTGGTCATATACACCTATGCCAATCACGAGCCTTGAAAATGCCATGCACAATGATTGGTTCCAATGATACGACGACGGTGGAGATTATAAAAGACAAGCCATGTTGTCAACTCAATAGATAAGTAAGTAACATAGAAGCAATTGTTATCAGCTACTGAATCTAGTTTCAAGCGCTGTTTGTCAATGTCTTACCCGATCAATCACATTCAGATTAGATTTGAAATTAAATAAGATTCTTTTAGAAACCGTTGTCGTTTTAATTATTTTTAGAATGTATGTTATATGACATCGTACTTATTACAAATCTTATGTTAATTACATTCAGATTATATTATAAATAGCTACATAATAATATTAACAAACATATTATAATAATATTGACACTACATGCTAACATATATGTATCTATTAAATTGTACATTTACTAAGCCTAACAAGCTCACTAAGGATTTTTGGAGGAGTTATCACAAATATAGTGAACACGCAAACTTATGGGACTACGGGAGACTTATGAGGTTGGGTTAGAGAAAAAGCCTCACAAAGATCCTAATGTGGATTATGTAAAACTTTAACAAATAATATTAAGTTTTACTAACACCAATTTCGCAGGTTTATAAACAATACGGTAGTTTTCAACTACTTACTCAATTCATTACTTTTATCCAAATGTCAAAAACGATACTTTTCTAAGAAATTTGTATGAAAAAGAAATTTATGACGTCGTAGTATTTTGGTGTAAAATAGCTTACTTATTTCTTAAAAATTAGCTAAAAAAAATCTAAAATTTAGTGTATCGACAGATCTATGAATAAAAGTTTAGTTATTTATCAATATTTTACTGTATAGAAACGTAGAATTAATTTATTTTTGACCTAGGAAACTACCCAATTGATTATTATTTTTAACATAATGTATCACCAAATATTTTATTTCCACGATACAACCGACAGAAGATTTATGATTACAGTTATTATCCAATTGTTTTTCTTTTTTGACTTATTAGTAAAAGAGAACGTCTTGGCCATCACCAGATATAATCTTCTTAGGAATGTACGATTTTAATTAATAAGAAACTTTGATCGCTTATAGAGGAATTATTTATAAGTTGTACCTACTTAAAGGTGCCAACACATAATCCCCATGGACAGTGAAGCAATTTTTGAGTAATGGTGCCGGATTTAAACTTTTGGAGGTACATGTAGAACAAAGAATACCTTTCCGAGGTTTGGAAACCGTTACGACTGTTGGCATTTGACTTCAAACAAAAGAATTTTATATTCTAGCACAACTGTTGAATGTGTATAACCTGAGGTCAAAAGAGACGATCAGGTCATAAATATCTCAAGTTGCATGTCGAATCGAATCGATATCAAGTAAATTACATCCAAATTCATTAAATATGAAGACTAAAGCTCTACTGGCATCACTTGATTTTCTAGGACTTTCCAGGGACTTATTGATTTATGCTATTTTAGTACATATTACATTGATATTTCGCTGTGTTATATAGATTATAATGTTCTGCACAAATTCGCTACATGCTGCATATTAAGTAAAGAGTAAAAATAAAATTCTTTCATTATGAAACTCATCTTAAAATATTTGCTCACACGTGCTTTTAATGTAAGTTAGGTATTTTCACACCTCTGCTTTCTCATTCATTTAGTAAAAATCAGTTTTTGTAGTTTCACTTATGTAGGCATTCTAATGAAAACATAAAGAAAATTTAGTTTGTTGGTTATATGCAATTAGTACAAGAAAAAAACAAGTTAAACATTGATACATTTGAGGAAACTATTGTGATGTTATGGTTTGACAGAATGACATTAAACAATAAAACCACACACTTTGCCTACTGTAAGTTGATTCGCAAAGAACAGTGCAGTTATCGTTTAATCCTAATTCAAACGAAATCCTCATGAGACCGCCGCAGTGTCATAATTCGCGTGAACACTCCAAGTAGTAAAGAATAAATGTAAAACATGGCATGCTCATACCGCAACTACAAAAACAACAGATTACCTCGTCATGCTGCGTACCGGACGCTGGTTCAGTATCCATTTGCTCAGTAGGACTTTCACCGCTTGCTGGTGAACTCCTATTTTCCTACAGTAGGCACATTAACAACATAAACAACTATAAACGAAAACAATTCCATCTAGGTATATCATGATACATATATTTACTACTACAATGTTTTGTAGATCCGATTAGTTTTATTAATTTCTCATCGAATCATCAAAACTATTTACTTAAATGATTTCAAAAGTAACAAAACAAAAACAACATTTACATGCATATTCATACAGTTCAAAAACCATGCATATTGTTTGTGAGGGAAAAAATATTGTAAACAGAGACCATGCAAAATAAATTAGGTTTTTCAAACCAATGGTATTCATTTACATTTAAATTGCAAAAGAACTATTAGTATCATTAAGTTCGTATATTGTATCAATATACACACAGTTTTTCGGACAAAAACAGAAATAAGACAACACCTCCGTCACACAGACAGTGCGCCATCCAACTGCAGTTAATAGAGTTGGCCGGGGCGCCTCATTATGCCTTTATATTTTATTCACTATCCCCCAGTGAAGAGGTTAATTTCCCCGCAAAAATCGATATCAGTTAATTATGCAGCCAGATGTTAGAAAAGGAGAAGGGACAGGGACATAAAACACGTACAGCCATTACTGCAAACACTAAATATTACTTTGATACTACTACACCTTATTGAATTCGGATACGATGCCTTATGGGTAACATCTCCGTCTACTGATCTTACCTCTCCTTCGACATGCGCCCTAAGGGAGGCGAGCGATGCTTTTATTTCGGCAATCATTCTGCGAATGAACTCGAGGCGGCCGGTAGTTGGTGACATCGTCACTTGTTGGTCCATCAGAATGTCAGAAGGGCCGGCAAGCGACTAGAAAAATAATAAAAATATTGTTAGTGAAACATGTTATTATATTGTGTATTTATACATCAGTGAGTATATTACAGTAATGGAACTGCATTACGTTCGAAGTCACATGATTGAATGAGACGGAAGCGCATCCTTGTGTGAGTAGGGTCGACAGCAAAGCAAATATAAAATGGTTCGTACGCATTGTAACGGTCTGTGCTCGCAGTTAATAAGGATGCAAGTGGCGCCGAGAAGATTCACACTTCTATTTATTTACATTTACGTCAGCCTGCGTAGTTGTATAAATAACTATATTTTTAATATTCTATACGCGCGAGTTCTCAGCAGTTAAGGGCGTTTTAATGCTTGAATAGAAATTTCAAAATTGTCTCTATACTTATTTGCGAAAATCACTTTCAGGTTTTTAAGTATGAGTACCAAGTTTCATTAAAATCATGAAAACTAGCGAACCAGTAAATCCCTTTTTACTAGAAAGTTTATACGAAAACCCATACAATATAAACGTTTTTAAAGGAATGTTTACACGTTTTGCTTCCATTTGGTTAAGAAACATGTGTTTTATTAAGCTTTCTACCCCAAGTGCTGCTGCTAGCTTGCTACTGCAAGAGTGCTGCTGTGAGTAATCAGTCAATTCTACATTATTAACTGAAGTTAACTAAAAGTCATTTTAATTTTTTGACGTCACAAATAGGAGTCTAATTAGACATTCCATTTTATGAGTTCAAACGAGGTGACAGATCACCTGATGGTACGCATTGGTGCCGGTCGTGGATATCTCCATTGGCCCCATAAGAGAACCTCCGATAACCCCACTCACAAACACAGCGACAGCGTTGTTTCACGCCGTTTTTCTTATTTTCATAGTACTTTTTCTTGTCATACAAATCTTAAACCAGGTCCTTACAAATACTTCTACCTAATAATATTATTAAGGGCCTATTGCCGTTATGGGCCTACCAGGTAAATTTGAATATGGAACGTAATTTGTATGAACTTATCGGATACATATTAGTATTTAAGAATATTTTTTGCGAGGGTTTAATAAAAGGAATTACCATCAGCCTCCTTATTTGTTGTTGCATGTTGGAGCCATTGTTTTCAGATCCGGAGTTGGCAGTCGGTGCGCTTGGGGCACTCTGCCGTGTCTCAGGCCCGGGTGGTGCTCGTTGCACCAAGTGCACGACTTTGCCGTTGACATCTGTAAATATAGATACAAGATTTTAGTTATTATCGTAATAAATTCAACGTATTTGGAATAAGACTACTAAAACGATATTAATTCATCAAACCCCACCTGTCCTCTTTTTATCGTGTATCAAATTACCACGTTTAAAGTTTAATACTCATGCAATTTGCACCAAATTCCTACCCAAATATGTACCTATATATTCTTAAGTTTATAATTTGTGACCCAGAATCAGCTATTTCCAATTTACCCGTTGGTACCGGCATCAAAACGTGTTGTGGGCTTAATTTCTGCATTGAACCATTATCTTTCTTTTGTGTATATGAAACACACACACGATACAGGAGAAAATACTAGTATGGTGCAAAGCATTTAAGACTTAATTTACCATATTCTGCGAGACGCTTCTCATCTTGCAATACTCTGCCGCAGAAAATAAGTCGTTGAAGGCTTGGTTCTATTCCCATTTGCTCCCTCACCTTCTCTTTGAGTTGTTCCACCGTGATCTGTAAGTGAGGACATGAAATATTAATAGGTATCTTGTATGAGGTGTATACTTAGTAGGTACCTACTTACATACGTACATTAATAGACAGATACTGAGCATGTTTATATAATAATGATCTTAATGTACCTAAGAGGGCTGTTCAAACTCGTACCAAAATAAAACCTTATTACTGCGAAGTTAGACACAATTACAACCTCTTTTATTTTCGAAGATAGAACTTAGAACTTAACAATTAGATACAAGTATTTGTTTCTCAGCAGCTGTAGGGTCTTACGAGGAAAGAGCTGCTCCACGCGGCAGTCAACTTTTTAATATTAGTTTTATAATATATGCAGGTTTTGCTTAAATATTTTATGATTTGATGGTTAAAAAACCGTTCTTGGTTTCACAAAAAGTAAAAAACACAGTTCCTACCAACTCCAAGAATTTTATTCTAAGTAGTTTTTTATTTTGTATTATATTTATTCGAATTCTCAATCAAATCGAAGCGTCTTAGCCGCTGAGGATATAATTTTAGAACAAGACATCTGTTATCGGTATCCTACCCAGAATTTGTTGTACCTTTTTTCGAGTTCTGCTGTCGCATTTTCGTCTTAACTAAGTATCTCACACGTTTTACATAAAATAAAGATTATTCATTCAGTTTTTCGTCATAAAATAATCATTATTTAGTTGTTGTGAATAGAATTTTAACGCATTTATTTGCTTAACAATAATCGTATCTTGATTTAGAATCTAGATACCTAGACTTACCCATTGAAAACAGACACAAAAGCAACATAGTTGCAATCAGTTTATCTTTTCCGTAAATATTAAAATTTATTCTGTTTATTTTGATTTTCACAAAGGTATTCTAAAGATAATTTGTGCAACATTGTTGCAAGTACCTTTATTTACTTGCTAGGATGTATCTTTGCTCCCATTAGCATGCGAGAGGTTAAGGTAAAAATATTTTCAAAAGGTTAAGTAAGTATCTAGATATTCAATATTAACAATTCAGGTCTGCCGGGTTAATAAGCTAAGATGCATACGATACGTAAAATTACGATAACAAAGTAATTCATACACATAAGTATTATGTACAGTTTTATTACGCAATCAAGTGCAATGTTGTGCAATATTGAAAACATTTTAAGTATATTACGAGCGTACCTGCCGCTCTTACAAAATTAAAAATGAAGATAATTCAAATATTGGGACAAAAGCGAAGGGACGCGATTATACAGGAGCTACCGGCCCAGACAGAGCTCGGTGGGGGTAGCTAGATCGAATACGCGTAGCCGGCTACTCTCCTGCTCCTGATATAAATACTTACAACGACATACAATGCAACCAGATGCATAACGTACTACATTGGTTATACGAGTGCATACAAGCGCCATGCCACGCCCAACACTAGCTCGGATGAATAAAAACAGTTTATTGAAATACAAAAGCTAACTTGTGGCACGTGGCGCTTCAATTGATATCATGTATCTGCTGAACATTTGACCTTTTTAAAGAAACCACAATAGGAAATGGTAAATTTTGTGGCTTAGCTTGCGTATCAACAAAGCGGCAATATAAAACTTATTGATACCTATTTCAAAAAAATCGATATTTGACTGTAACAGTAGGTTAAATTAAAAATAACAAAAAATAATTATATTTTTAATAGTTTTTAGAAAATTTACGCACAGCCAATATTTTAGATTTAGGTATGTAATTTGACACCGATATTAATAAGATAGGCTTTGAACTTTGACCCTTTAATGACATATCAATTTCGTCCCTTCTAAATTTGGCTAAACGCTCGATAAGATAAGACTATAATTCATAATTTAAATCGGGCCTTTACCTTGAAATGAGAACGTTTGATAATTGCCAAGTTATTATTAAGTCATAAATTACCATAATATGTGTCGGGCGCACAGCGCAGCGGAAACTGCAAGCCATCGACGTTTTAGAGTTAACGTCGATACTTCAAGCTTCGAGTATATAGCCATGTTACGAGTACATAGGTATATCTATTATATCTCTTAATAACGTTATTATTACTGTCACAATGTTTATCTGAGCGCTGACAAAATTCAAAAGAAAATCGCTTATGCAGTTGTGGAATTAAAAAAAATGGTATCTTTAACAGTTATTTCGCGCTGCTTGTTCTTCGCCAGGCTCGGTGCATACCTTAAATCAATAAATTACAATCTGTGTAGGTATGTAGATGCTGAATATACCCATAGCTAAGCGTCTGGTTTATTGAAATTGATGCATGCGCAGTACGATCGCGGAATCAATAGCATGATGTAGAAGACAGGTACGAAGTAACTCCAGCCACGCGGTTTGCAAAGCTCAATATGAAAACGCGTAGCGTAGGTACATTGGAACATATAGTAAAAATGCATTCGCCTTGTTTACGCACCAGCCGTTTTAAAGAGATAACGTAATAGGTAATAGAGCAAAATTCTAAATTCAAATTGCAGGAGGCTTATAATACTATGTTTAACATGAAATACGTAATTACGCAGCATAAATCTATTTTACGTAATAATTATTAAACTCGTTTTTAAATAAAAAGGAATATGGAATTTAAAATAAACAATTTTTCTTCTCTTTTATTGAACATTATAAGATATTACTTAACTGCTATTCAAATGTGTTACAATTGAAAAAACGCGACAGGAAAGCTTTAAGTATTTTAATAATATTTAATTATTTACTTGCATAAACGGAATGCCGGTAGAAGTATATCCTGTTATATAACAAATGTCTCGCCCCCTATTGTACTAAAACATGCTAAATATAGTCATCTCATCCCATAACTGAGGTCAACATACAATGGAAACTTAACGTATAATTTGCAGTCGCTATATGAACCAGTAGGTATATAAAGAGGAAGGTTATATTAAACTATAAATTATGTTAGCATGCATTGACACCCTATTTAGCTCGTAAATATAAATGGCCAATTCATCAGGTAAAAATTCGAGTCGTTTGCTGCCTAAATTGGATTAGTACTACTATGTATTTAATAGTAACTATAACTTTGGTGGCACGAATATAACTTTATCAGTTTGAATTAAGTGCTAGAGTTTTCATATAAACTTTCAAGTCAAGAAACTATCGATATCGATTTAACTAAACTTGGTACATGCGAAAATTATTTTGAGCTTAAGACAAAATTAAATTAAGAGCGAGTAGTCGTTCCCATTTTCGACCCACTGTTTGGTTAATGTATGTAGTGAGGGGAACATTTGTAAAATATTGTATTCAAGGTTAAGACGTCGAAAGCCTCGGTTTTCTGCCTTAAATACATTTTTATGTAGGCGTTAAAAGATAAAGCATAAGTGCCTGTCAAAAATGTAATATACCTAAACATTAAGGCTAAGAACAATTTGTCTTATGGATCCTCAGTTCACGTGCTACATTTCAATGTTATTATGTTAGATTACCAGAACGATCTTTTAGTTAGATTAACAAGCAAACATCTTGTGTGTTTATCAATTAAAATGGACACTGCAACTAAATTCCATCTTAAACAGAATGAACATGCAATGGCTGTGTCAATTAACTAATTGCAGTTGTTTTCAATTTACTTTTATAAACATTAAATATGTAGGTATATAAGGCTCAAGACTTTATAACACACACAATAATAAGTTCTTAATTTCTTTTACTACAGGTAATAGTAATGATGCGGTTATTATTAAAATACTCGCTGCAAACCATATTCACAACCATTCCCGCCCTTTGGGTAAATATCTCGCGCAGCAAATAGCACACAAATAGCAATGTAGTCAAGCATACACAAGCACATCCTCTCATTGTAAACATATTAAAAATACTCACATAAAAAGAAAAATAATATCTAATCAAGTAATTATTATTTCAATTTGACTAAAATTATAAGCATTGAAATAATAAGCCATAAATACCTAGTTAAATATTAACATACAAAAGTGAAATATAATTAAACAGAAGCACATATTAAAACAAATTGCTGAGGCAGTCATAGTAAATAACATGGGTACTTAATAAATTATACATCAAAAACAGGTTTAATAGAAAAGGTTCAATGTTCAAGCAGATAATGTTTTCTTTGTCATGTGTAAGTAGTTTTAGTTTGAGCTTGTTGATTGGTTGGACGGGACTTGGTATAAAGAATTCAAACTTATTGATTGGCTCACATTGACATGTAGTGGATACTAACCACCCCATACTTAGGGAAGGATTATGGAAACTAGGCTAATGTTACAATGTCAGAAGTTTACTGTCAAGGCATGATTTGTTTATACTAAACACTGGTAGTAAGTACCTTGAAAAAAATTTTTTTTTGAGGTTTTTTTGCTTGTTATAGTTTTCTTATGATCTCAGATAATATTATGAGTATTTGATACCTTAAAAATATTTTAATAGGCAAAGATTTTGTTATTGTTACAGCATTGTCACTATTATTAAGTTAAAAAAAAATATTGCACTGAGTTTGGTAAGGAATGAGGATCTTAGGCTAGTCCAATCCATGAATCTATTAATTAGTATAAGTATTTTTTATTATACCTAAGATAAAATGCCTGTCAGTAACAAAAATAATTAATACTTCAAATTAATAAAGTGCATTTTTATTCTAATTCCAAAAGAAAGCACTTATTGGAATCAACTAAGAATTTAAATAAAACTTCTTTTGTTTATAAACTTACCACAATATGAAAAAACATATATTTTATTTTGCAATACTGAATTCTCAAGTTGCAATCTATGTTATAAGAAATATTGTGATGTCGAAGAAACAGACAATATTTGATGTGCATTTGATAAATGAGTATTATATAGGATATAAAAACATTGCTGGGGTTGTATAAATTTTATAGAGATTAGCAATGCTAAAATACCTTGTTATAGGATTTGAAAGATGTTAAATACTAATAAATATTTTGATGAACATACCAATACCTATGACAAAAATATTATATCAGTGTGTAAGATTAAAAGGCCGGTTTTATAACTTCAAAGTGATACCATGTCCTTATGGGTAAGTGCTTAAGTAAGAACCATGCATAATACAGAAGAGAATAAATTAAAGCCCTGAGTTTTGAAAAACATCTTTCATTGGATGTTACACTTCATCCAGTATGTCATATGAGTTGAAACATTTCAATAATAACATATTTCTAAAATTACGTATATCGGTATTTGATTAGCTCACTGTAATATTGAGACTCCCTTATAATAATTTTACACCCAACATGAATTATAAATATGCATATACATTATATATCCCACCATTTTCACAAAGTAAGTCAGGCAAAGGTCACCCTACCAATCATTCAGTGTATACGGTATGACGAGTATAACATACTACATTATTAGTAAATGGTCGCTTATTGTTCACAAATTGCTATGATGACATGAACTAATCATAATATCATCATTGCAACGCACAATATTGATGATAATAATCATAAATTTCAAAGATCATTGTACCAGTAATGTGTATGGAATTTCCTATAAGATATAAGAAGTTCCAGTCTTTTGCCAAAATATGGAACTAATCAACTTTTTTTTCAAAATGTTTAACACAACAGCCTGAAGTGCTTAGAGGACACTCATAATTTTTAACAAGCCATTTGTACAGTGCACATTGTTAAAATTATTTCCACTTTTTATGATTGTGCGTAGGTACACATCTCCTAAGTATCGAGGAATATTTTATTGGTCTGTGGCAATAACCCGAAACACATATGAAACTCAACACCTATAACATTTAAGTGAAACATACTGAAACCTAATGGTTATCTAAAAATGCCTGTGGGCTAATTAAAACTCTGATTACTATACTTAAGTGACAGCATGAATAGAGGTTATTTTAGTGTAAACAGTATAGATATTTTAAATTTGAGACAAGCTAACAAAAGGGTTTATGGTTATTATGTTTTAACCAACTAAATACCACATTTCACAGTATAAAAACAATTTTAATCTTCAAAATGTTCTAGTAGAAGTGGTGAACAATTATCATATAACCAAAAACAATTATTGAATTTGTATAGGCAACACAATATGATACCCTTAAGAGCAAAAATATTAACTGTTAACAAATACCCTCGTTGAGTTTTTATCATGAAAGACACAAACTAATACAAATTGTTTGAAACTTATGAAATATATTAAGAAGCAGTAGATAAGTTTTGCTGCTGCAGGATTCGTTCATAAACATTATATTGACCACTAAAAATCTTTTTAACTATCTATAATAAAAAATAACAGCAACAAAATTAAATTTATTATAGTAGGTTAAATAGCTACATACTAGCCTATCAATGGTTCTTTGTGACCTATAGATACCTACTATAAGTCTTGCATCCTATTCAAACCCCATACCTATTGTATTGATTGCCTAGCCTGAAAACCAGACACAAGTCTATTGTACCATATATGTCCCAACGGGTTTCAACATGATATCTGTTGATTATATTTATAACCCATGACACTATAAACATCAAAATTCCAGCAATTAGCACCTAATAAAAAAATCTTAAGGGACACAGTTCAGCCAAGAAATCGGATAAAATAATGCCAAAAATTACTTACCTCATCGTCGACTGAGAACCGGTGGTTATTGGAATCCAATGTTTTTATCGTAAACTCAATCATTTTTTACACGAAAACATGAACGCCCATAGAAGGCAGATAATTTGACGCGTGCCTAAAACAACAAAAACCAAGTTTTAAAACGTTTTCAAAAGTACACTTGCACACTCGAGATACTTCACAATCAATATATAGATTACTCACGTCTATCACAATAATTTTTTTACATAAATTGCTGACGATTTAAAATAAATTTCATTCGGATCGGAGTATGCATTTGATGCCTGATGGTGACAGCAATCAAAAGAGTTGCCATATGACAAATTCCACCAACAGGATTGATCAAAATATTTTCCATTGTAAATTGATACATGACAGAACGTGGAAATAGGACAAATGTACCGAAAGTGCCACTGTGTTTGACATTTGCTTTGAAAACTAACGCCACATTGGAGGTTCTAAGTATACTGGATAATGTTGGTGAAGTCGCAGCAAACTAAGAAAATTATATCGATTTTTGGGTACCTTTAAATATCATTATTTTTGCATAAATCAATATTACTTCTTACCCTTTTTTTCTTAAAAAATAACCTGGTTTTAACAATGTCAAATTAATAATTTTGTAAAATAATTTCCGTTTTAGTAGAAACCGGTTTTGCCATAAATAGCTATTATTAAGCTGTACCTCATCAAAACGAGAAAGGTAATCTTATGAATGTTAATAATACAAGTATAATTATCAGAAATGATCTTTCTACTATTGAAACATTTGTAAAATATTTTTAGTTTAGTCGATTTTCATTGTTCACAAAATCGATTCCAAACCATAAATTTTATAGTGTTGGGCCCGCGGAAATAGCGGTGCAGATTATATATATATACAAAAACCGGACAAAGTACAAAATTAAATCCATATGGTCTATAAGCTCTTTTAAATAAAGATTAAAAAAAAATCCATATGGTCTAAAATATACTTCTTAAGCTCGATGATGAATTTCATTGTTGGAAAAAACTAGTGCCAAAGGACAAGCGTGGCTCCGTTGATTAGGTCGTCACAGTATAGAAAAGGTAGAAATTATACGACGCAACAAAGAGCAGTGTCGCGCTAGTAGCCCAGGTGCAGTGCTGGCTTAGGTCAAGCGCAATAATGTAATGCGAGCAGTTAAAAGAAGACCTAAAACCACCAGTTTTAAGTCAGTAGATGATGTTCTTGACCCGCAACACGGGCGTAATGAAACCTCTGAATTAGTTACTATTAAACAACATTTAGGTTTAGTTTGGTTTTGAAGAAGATATGGCTCCCTGGCTTTCTTTGCAAGGTTCTCTTTTGATTATGGGTACCTACTTTGTGAAGTTCATGTGTCTCATGCGCGAGGAGTCTGACAGTAGTAGGTAGATAACTCTCTTAGTAATATTTCTCTAGTCTCTCTCTATCTCTTAGTCCAGTCTTAGGGCAGGGCTGATTGCTTACCACCAGGTAAGCCGTCTACTCGTTTGCCGAACTATGACATTAAAAATATACCTACTCCGCAGATTACCAATGACGGTGGTAGGTATTTAAAAATTGATTTATTAAAAAGCAATAAATATTTTTTTCCATTCGACGGAACCAATTAATCATCATTTTATTAGTTTTTTGTCTCTTAAGAGGAATAGTCGCAGCATTGTCGGTTTTGGAGACAAATGTGTCCATCTTCATTATTGCAACATAGGTACCTACTAATAAACAAAAAATATTTTTTGTTGGCTCTAACTCATTTTCGAACACGTACCTAAACACGACAGGTTTTATGTTTCAGGATCATACGCTGACATAAATCCAGGATTCGTCACCTGATACGTTCTTGAATGATACGTTTGAGGTTCCTACATGAAATATTTCGAGAGTTCTGACGCACCAAGTAACGCCAGCCCCTTTTTGCTCTTCACAGAACGAATGGTATATCCACCCAGAAAACAATTTTTTTAGGTATACGTTGTTCCTGTACGATTAAATGTATTTGATTAATGCCTAAAGTTGCCTGAATTTCCCAACATTGGGACTATCTGTAGTGGCTGAGGCGTGTGGAGAATAGTTCCCTCACGCGCTCCGAGTCCTTGAGTAATATCGACGTGTAACATATTACTCAATCAGCATCTGAATAGTTTTTCCGACAATGGGATGGCGAAGGTAATGTCAATTACAGATGGCGCGAAATCGTTAGTAGGTACCTCTTTCAGCCGTCCACAACTCTTTGAGGATACGCATTAATCATCCTTTGTTTTCAAAATAAAACAATTACGTGTTACAGGTCTTTCCTTTCTTAAATTATATCTTGTTAAATGAGGCTCAGTTAAAAGAAGAGTTGCTCAAAAGAAAAGTTAAACCAACAGGAAAGAAGGCTGTTATCATTTCCCATAGCTAGTTAGGTACTCAATAGGTACTATTATTTTAGTTTTAAAATGCAAACGGTTTAATCATATAAACATGTTTTAATGTAAACTGTGCGTCAGGTACACAGAACTATTCCGGAGTCAGGTACCTACCGCAAGATGCCATCTACCGAGAGAAATTGGCTCTTTTTCTCCCCATTTTAGTGCAGAGCCCCATGTACTAAAATGTAGTGTCATGTCGTCCTCTGGCATTATTAATTTATTCTGAACAGTAGACAGTTAAAAAATTATAATGTTTGCTTTCGATTTTGATAAAATTTGACTGAGTTTATTGAAGTTTTAAATTGTAATGAAGATTTCCAATCTATGTTTTGCTGAATTTCTCTATAGGTTAATAGATACCTACCTACTCAATTGTATCATTTAGCTAGCTACTCTCGCACGGTTTTTCTGCTCGGCTCCATTTAATCGAAGCGTGATGTTTTACAGCCTATAGCACTCAGGAACATTGGAACATTGTAGCTATCTATCAATGAAATAATTTTGGTAATCCGACCAGCGGTTCCAAAGATAAAACCTACATACAAACTTATTAACTTACAAATTTTACCTCTTTATAATATTAGTGTAGATAATTATGGCTTATGAAATATCATACTTACTCGATATAAGTGTTAGATAGCTACATATTGACAAAAGGATAAATAATTATTGAGTCTGATTGATAAACATAAATTCAATCTGGTGCAGATCAAAACTGATCTGAGTTAGTATTTAAAATGAAATACAAAGATTGGCTGGTGGATTTCATCGTCTAGTTTAAATAATTAAGTAAAAATGGATGGAATAAATCTTCCTTCTTACAGTCGGTCCCTCATATTGAGGATCGTGGTCAGCATTGAAGTGACATCTGGAGCGGATTATCCACACCTCCACCTTTTTCGATCCTACTACCGCGAAGAATTAGGAGGACGTTGAATCTTTTACTTGATCGGTCCATCTGGTTGTTTACCACGCGATGGTTTGCCTTCCGTGTTCCCAAAGACAATTCGTTTTCCAGACTTTTGACAGATTCAAGATAGACACATTAGTGCGTTTAGTAGTCCTAGGTATTCGGAGTTATCGACTCCAGGACTACACTTCTAATTTATCTATCCTTTGTCGTTGTCGATCTAAGATCTTTCACGTTTCCACCCCATAAAGGAGGATTTCCTATCTTCCAAGACTCGTGTCAACCTGATCTTGGTTGTCTTTAGCCTTCTTGGACACAGCTGCCATCGTTGCAGATTTGGGAGTCGAGGTAAATATAGTGGCCGACGATATTAATGCCAAGAATGTTGCAGGTGATATTGGCTAGTGTGCCTGCTCGATCGCTCGATATGTTTGTTTGTTGTAGTTGGAATAAATGATTTTGATTTGATTTGTGCCTATCATAACGAAAGATCGATTTTTGAAGGGTAAATTCATCTAATGATTTCTCTCGCTCAAGGCTACGTTACCTTATTGCACTTGCCCCGCAACTTCGGCTGAATATCGACCCTGTTGAGCCCCGTCTGTGTTGGTCTAATGGCTCCTGGAGGCGCGCGCGAAGCGCTACGCGCCGTACTCTCCGCTCTGGTTTTGGTTGGGCAACGAGCCACTGAAGATCATCACTCGATGCTTAACTGACTGTCTTCTATTGTAGCGGCTGGTAGCGTGAGGAGAATAGTTCCATCATGCGCTCCATTTCCTTTTTTGGATCTTCTCCACGTGGTGCGTTTACAAACATACAATTCCATATACACCTCACACCCAGACCCGAAACAACAATTTGTGGATCACACAAAGTGTTGTTCCGTGCGGTAATTGGACCCGCGACACGTTGCGACATTTAACGCAATTGCAGGGTTATATACCTGTAAGAAAAGAAATATGTTTGATTTAAAATTCTGAATAAACCCCGAGGATTATTACGCAGTAGTTGTCAAGTTTACCAGGACTATGATAGAGGTGAAAATCCATTTGAGAATCTGCAGCGGATAGTGTAAGTTGTAAAAACACTCCAGAATTTTGCGTGGCGAAAAGTGTCCTTCTATGCGGAAAGACAATTGGATAACGGAATGGATTTGAAAACTGCAAGAAATTATGTCGTCACGCCAACAACTGCTAAGTACTTGCAAACGACCTCAAAAGCAAACACATAAATTAGCTTTCGTTCATTGATGGTGTCAACTTTTTTTCAATGTCTACAGCCGCCCTATGCATATCACATCCATAAGCCACACTATGTTCCCACAGAAATCCTATAGGCGTGGCTTATTAGTCCAGTAAAGTTTACAGAAATTGGGACAAAAATTTTTTCAAGACAAATCTTCTTGGCATTTTGTACCGGTACACAGTCATGTAGATACAAAATATCTCAACAACTAAGAATAGGTATGGGTCAGACATGAAACAAAGGTCCTCACTTAACATGAGGCTCAGGGTCTACGTCGGTGGTTATGATAAACACAGCAATAGAGAGGCAAAAAAATTATAATAGCGTACGACATGTCGCAGTAGTATTTTCGCGGCATACAACAGTTGTATCTACTCAACAGATAACAGCGAAAACACGATAGAGAAACTAATCCAAAGACTGATTTGGAAGAGCAAAAGCATTACAAGCACTATAACCTGAAAATAGCCATCAAGCATAGAAATCTGCTGGTTGTGAGTAGTCTCTGGGCCAGAATAGGGTGTTCCTTGATAACCTTCAACAAGAAATGATTTGTATTTAACTGCATAACATATACATATACATAGTCTGGCCATAAATACTGTTACAATTAAAAATAAACAAAATATTACATTTGAATTTGGAATCTGTCATTTTTATATAATTTTTCATTGCGTTTTCTTATTTTGGCGCCAATAAATTGTTCAATATTTTGCGATTAATAAAATGGAGTGGGGTGATAAAGAGAACCGAATCGCTGTGATTGCATTACACAAAGTGGGTATGGAGCCAAATGCAATTTTTAAAACTCTCCACACGCTTGGCGTTAGTCAAATGTTTGTGTACCGGGCTATTAATAGGTACAATGAGACCTCCTCTGTTTGTCACAGAAAAAGATCTGGCCGTCCACGTAGTGTTCGTACGTACGAAAAAGGTGGTCAAAGCAGTTAGGGAAAGAATTCGAAGAAATCCTGTCCGAAATCAAAAGATTTTATCTCGGGAGATGAAGATAGCACCTAGAAACATGTCGCGTATTTTAAAAGACAACTTAGGACTTCCAGCCTATAATAGACGCACTGGACATTTTTTAAATGATAATTTAAAAAAGAATAGGGTGATTTAATCTAAACAACTACTGAAGCGGTACGCAAAGGGAGGTCACAGAAAAATTTTGTTTACGGATAAGAAAATTTTTACAATTGAGCAACATTTTAACAAACAAAATGACCGTATTTATGCTCAAAGCTCTAAGGAAGCTTCTCAATTATTCAACAGAGTGCAACGTGGGCATTATCCGACTTCAGTGATAGTTTGGTGTTAGCTATGAAGGAGTGACTGAGCCATACTTTTGCGAAAAAGGTATCAAAACATCGGCACAAGTATATCAAAATACCATTCTTGAGAAGGTAGTTAAGCCCCTTAACAACACCATGTTCAATAACCAACAATGGTCCTTCCAGCAAGACTCGATAATCCAGCGGATTACCGCTGGATTATGATTTATGGTCAGTTTTAGAGAGTAGGGATTGCTCTAAACGTCATGATAATTTGGACTCCCTAAAACAATCCATACGATTGGCAATGAAGAATTTTCCCATGGAAAGATTGATAACTGGCCTCAACGTTTCAAGGACTGTATTGCAGTCAATGGAGACCACTTAGAATAAGCTTTTTATGTTTTAAATTGTTTTATATTTATGTATTAAACTTACATACTGTAAAAGTAATAAATGTTATTTGCAACAGAAAACATTTTTTTTTATTTGTTACAGTATTTATGGTTAGACTAGGTAGTTCAATTAGTATTTATTAACGCTTTACCATTTTTCACTGATGTAAACTTATACTTTTTTTATATGAGTTAATCGTTGAATGACTTCTTCCGCCCAGGGCTAGGCGAGAGAAAATGTCAGACGCTTACTGACTAATAAAACCCCCCCCCCCGTTCCTTTTCCTGCTTTAGGCCGGGGCTCTGTGCCTCATTGCGCTTACCCCGCAACCCCGGCTGAACATCAGCCCTATAGAGCGGTGGCTTGGGCATGAGGAGGAGGATAGCTCCCTCATGCGTTCCGCCTCCGTCTTTGCGAGCATAACTGCTTCACAGAAAGAGGTGACGGCTTCCCAGTTTCTCTCGCTTCACACCAAGGCCTTGACTGTCGATCGGCGCCGCCGATCCCTTCCCTGAGGACACGGCGGTGCTCAGCCCAACAAGCCACACCGTCACCATATGCCCCACCGTGTCCTATGGGTGGATGTAAACTTATACTGGAGTCAGCTCATTGTCATGTGGGCTGAGACGTCGTATATAAATAAATACTTAATTGATTTGGACTTGTGAATGAATGAACAAGTGAAATAAGACAATCAAAAGAGAAACAGAAAATGTGTTTCTTTTTTGTCTTTTCAGTATTTAAGTTGCCGCATTGGTCGTTTTAAAAATGAAACCAGAAAGTTTAATATTTTCTGTTCACTCGCCCTGGGTGGGGCAAGGGGGAGTTTAAAACTATTACCAACTGACTAAAGACCACGCTCATTACTTACCATCAGGTATATTCGTCTGCTCGTTTGCCAAACTATCACATCAAAAATAATTTTAACCAAATCTAAGTAAGCCCCGCATAAGGTACTCAATGTTGGAATAACAAGTTCCCTTGTATGTATAGCGAAGAGGAAAATCCCTAATGTATGTTCTTATCTAGATTCAGCATACATTTACATAAATCTAAATAAATCTAGATATATATAAAAATCGCAAAATATGTTGGTGGCGCTATAATAATGGGTATGAGTCAACAACTCCTGGACCAATTTTTTAATATTTTTGCTGTGTTTGTTATTGTTAAGAGAGAGAGGTTAACTTTGAAAAGCATCGGGGAAGTTAGGATATATATAGCGATTTTTTCATCGTCAGCGTCAGCAAGGTAGTTGGACAGCTGTGCGACTGTAGATTTTTAATGCTGAGAAATGAGAAATTAAATTGAGATTGATAATGTTATGACGCTCTGCAATCACGCTGATATGGTGAGTACATATTTGATCTCTTCCCTCCAATTTGAGAAATTCTGGGTACAAAAGCACAGCAGCACAAATGTTTATAATTGCCACTTCTAACCTCCTAAACAAAAAATATAACTAATAATTAGGTATGACCTTTCTGCAGGCTCTGTTGTTCTTGAATGACAGAATCAATTTGTGTACAGGTTTCATTTACAGAAAATTTTAACCATCAAAGTGGCTCTACACTTTATTAATATTTCATGGAAACCGGGTTTGCTGTTTAAGAACTACATAAATATAAAGGAATAGGTCAGTATTTGGTACAAATACAAATCAAAACTTGTATCTCTATTTGGTGCATTTGCAAATGAAAAATCTAGGTATTTAATTTATAGGTACTTGCTCCATACATTCTTACAAATACAATTTGAACAATACTTAAACCTAGTAACATAATTATTTCTTTTCACAATAAGCTCTTTCATATCAAATTATTAAATCGCGTGCAGGTGATATGCATCATGACATATCTAATAGTCGATTTACGATTGTTGTTCCGATTACCCTCGCTCGCTAACAACCCTTTCAGTCGTCCTGGATGCACTAGTGTTTCCGGTGTGCAGTATAGGATACCTAAGTACCTATATGCGTTTTTCTATTAGCTACCGGTGGGGTGCCTCTACTAAAATCAATATCGCGTCGCGTCCTCGCCGGATCAGACGGCTGTCGTGTTCTCTTATATTTTATCTCTAAATTTTTAATTTTTATTCCTTTTATAGGTATTAATCTTGATTATAGATACAACAGTTAGATTAAACGTTTATTTCTTAATTCGAGACCGAAGAGTAATGCCACCTATCAAGCGAAGGCGCCAACGTAAGACTCAAGCTACCACCAAATCCGGTAGGTAAAAGTGCATTAAATAATTGTAACATTAATTTTATATATTACCTATTTTTTAATAAAATTTTATTATATCGTGTATAATTTCAAAATTAGGGATGATTACATAGACTCATATTAAGTAGATATTACATTGTAAATAACCATCTTTGCCTACCCCATTGAGGATTTAAAGGCGTGACGTTTTATATATCGAATCTTTGGTGTTCTTACATGTAATTAAAAGCAAATATTCAACAATAAATAAAAAAATAAATTACGTAATATGTCACTAAAATGTTATGAGTTTGCGTGGTAGGGGGTGAAATGCGGCAAGCGCAGGACCGCACCCTATTATGCGCCGGTGACGCCAAAAGCTTCACCATTATATATCCTGAAAATATTTATCAATCATCGAATTTTGGCGACCCTAACCAAATTGTTAAGAATAGTGCTTAGTTCTGTGCCCTTTACATAAACATATTTTTATTAAAATTTCTAAATAAATGGTCTTATAATAACTGATGCAACATTTGCGCTATCATTGTTTTAAGAGGGGTATGGGTTAAGTTCACCAGCCTTTGCCCCCCGCCCTACCCCGACGCTGTACCTGCTACTCAGAAATCAATATTCTACAAGTTGCTAGATTTATTTTCAACTATAACTTATTTACTACTAAAGGGAACCGGGCATTTTACTCTTGTTTTGTGATCGGTGTGACCTAAATAGAGCTTTTTAGCTACATACATTAATGAACTTTTCCTTTGGCGCCATTGATTACACTTACGCCGTTTTATAGACTGTGCGTTATTACATAAGACATAAAGACACAAAGCCGATACCAACTGCTTCTTTCTAGTAGGAACGAGGTTTACCTTAGTCTAGATTTGATCCTAAAATATTGTGAGTTATCCTTTGAACATTATGATAATGTATGCTGTAATGCTTACATAATTTAGATGTGTCTTTTGAACGAACGTTTTCAAATAAAGTAACTAACGACATGAAATGTTACAAAAATGAATCAAGATTTAAAATTAAATATTTTTGGGTAAGGTAGTGTAGTGGTGATTGTAAATTAAATAATTTGAAATAATTGGCGGCATATTTACGTAGCTCGGTAAGCAAAATTAAGAAATATAAAAACGAAGAGATACGTTTATAGAATACCTATAATGTCTGAAAATGTTTGAGGTGGAAGAGTATAAATGAGAACAATAGGTAGGTATAGACAGGGTGGCATGTAGGTGTGGTACCATTCATTGTAAAGTAGTATCTGTCGCTTGAAGTTTTGGTCTGTAGTTAGCTTGGGCATCGAGATATTTTTAGGCGGGAAAGTCGTAATTTTAATTCTCCCTCCCTGACTGGGGCGAGACGAAGTGTCAGACACTTACTATCGAAAAACCACCGTGTTCTTTCTCCTGCTCTAGGAGGTCGTCACCGTTGTTATAGATAACAGCGTGCTCTGTCCTTGGTTGCTTCCACTCCACCATGAGATCACACAGAAGCTCATTCCGCCACGCATTATTTTAACGCAGCACACGAGGACGGCCTGCAGAACCATTTTAATATTAATTATTTGTGATCTGTTTTCTGTCTGATGTCTAATAAATCCTTTGATACTCTGATTGTACCGTCTGCGATGTCATTGTGGTAAGGCAACCGATCCCTGCGCATGCGCAAGGTCTCATGGCCAGGTCTGTGCTCGCTTACATTCTGCAATGCAAACCTGGATGAAAACGTCACTGGTTTATTAAAATTTGCGCCTGATAACAGACTCACGCCCCAGGAGAAAAGATTTATGTCCCTATACTAAGTACCAGTACTATTATTCTGGTCAATCAAATTTATCGCAGTTTAATATCTAGACTCTTGGGAATAAGGAATTATTAAATGAAATGGAATTTTGAAATCACATTAGATTATGGCTTATTTTTCCTTTTGTCAATAAATTAGAGGGTTTTTTTTGTGGGGAGAAAATCATCAAATGACATTTTAAGCCCAGATTTTATGGCGTGAAATGCCTGTTGGTGTAGTAAATACAGTTAAATATTGGACATAAGTTCAGGATCGAAAACTGAAATAGAAATAGGCAATTACCAAATATAATACGCAACATTCTAAGTAAGCACGTTAATAAGGGACGGATCATAATTAAAACAGCGGCAACAGCAAATTAGTCACTATAACGTGTTAGTTTATATTGATCCTCCTCATTTACTTTTAAACTTAATGAAAATCATAGAACTTAGTCAGAATAAGATAAATTACTGTATTAGTTAATTTGTACAGTTTTGCCACGACGAACATTTGCAACATGGCTCGACGATACAGTGCGTTCGATCCGCTTCGCTGCGGGCACGGTCCACACAGCTAGAACGGTGGCAAACACTGGGACATCTCCAATAAGCACAGCCCATGACTTGCTGCAATCAGCGGCAAATTCACTCTGCACAGCAGCCAAATCAATCAGATCAGCCGCAAACTTGGTGCACGCAAGTTCTCCGAGTAACGACCCATCTGCTCAAGCGCTCTGCGCCAGACTTCGCTTATCGGCAAACTGGCTCGCCTCTGCTGCGACGCCACTCCGGTCGTCTCCGCCCTCCATCCACGACGCTCTTCAAGTAGCTGCTGGTGCTCTTCGGAAGGCTGCGTCTTCTCTAGACACAGGTCAGCTCTGATAGCTGATTCTACTCCTATGCAAAATCGAAAAACAGTTTTTTCAAATGTTTTGATATTTATTATACTTTAAAATGATTTCTATATAGATAAAAAAAATGAAAGTTCATTCCCTACCCGTAAAGATATTTGTTGTACATTATAATATAAATACGCCATAATGTTCAATACTTACACATATTTGAGGAGCACTATGAATATTTCAAAACCTACCTACTTATTTAGAAAAATACTCAATTATGTTTTCCAAACTTGTCTTTTATATTTTGTATTTTTTGTCTTTAGGTGAGGTTCAATCAACGCAGAGGTAACGCTAGATCGCGAAGAGGTAAAACAAGCGTGTTACTTGCTTTGTTCGCGAAAAAATAACTACAGTCATTCACTGCCATCATCACTGTCACTCTTGGGCTTTATCCTTAATATCAATCGCTATAACATCTTTAGTATCATTTGGTGTCATGTAGTTTTATCATCGATCATAGGTACCACCACCACATTAAGTAATATGGAAAATCATATGGATCATAATTAAATGGAAATTTGAACTTATACTTTTGAGCAATCGTCTGAAATGTTTTCAGTTTGCGTTTTCATTGTTAATGACGAATGTAATGTAACAATATCTCAATGTCTTGACTTTCTCCTGGTACAACAATAACAAATATTTGTCGGTCTGTAATGAGGTTGTGTTTTTTTTCATAACTCACTAATTAATAAAATTAGCTCATTCGTTCGCAATGAATTAGGGAAATTGGACTCTATCTTTTTTATATAAAGAGTAGTAGATCCAGCGAACTCTGTACAGCCTCGGAATTATGTCTATTCACCGCCAAAAGGAGCCCCCTTGGCTCCTGTTTTTTGGGATGTATCCTTGGAATACACCGACCGCCCTCAGCTCCTGGAAATGGACATTGCTTCAGACCTCAACTTTGGGCGATTCATTGAGTCCAGGGCCGCGGTAGCTGCTAGAAAACTTGGCGTTCTTACAAAAGTCCGACGGTACTTCACACCGAGTCAGCTTCTAATGTTATACAAAGCACAGGCCCGATCGTGTGTGGTGCAAAATGCCACCTAGCGGCTTTGGATTCAGTGGAAAGGCGTGCAATGAGGCTGATTGGTGATCCGGATTTGGTTGGGTCCAATCTTCTGAGTCTCGAGCACAGGCGCAGAGTAGCCAGCCTTGCGGTGTTCTACAGGATGCATTTTGGAGAGTGTGCGCAGGAATTGCACGATTTGATTCCGCCATCCCCATTTTACCTTCGGACATCCCGGCGTACGGCAAATATCAACCCTTTTGTTAAGACACCTGCGGCCCGGACTAAGCCTTTTGCCTCGTCATTTATACCGCGTACATCGAGGGACTGGAACAGTTTGCCGGCTGCAGTCTTTCCGTCCAAATATAATTTAGGTGTCTTCAAGGCTAGAGTGAATAGGCTCTTAATAAACTAGTGCGCCTTACCATCAACGATTGCATCACTGCTTACCATCAGGTAGGATTGCAGTCAAGCATAAGTTTATAGCAAGTAAAAAAAAAATGTAACGCTTTTTGACTTTTTAAACCTGGAGCCTGGACTTTTACAAATATTTGAAGACCAGAGTTAGCCAAACCAGACCCGCGGTTCTCGAGTTTTAGCGAGATTAACAATTAGCATTTCAATTTCATACGAGAATATTAGATGTTGTATGACAACATTAAAATATGTGCTTTAATATCTTCAATGTTCAAATTAAATGTAAGTATATACCCCTCCATATCGTCACGCCCGTCTCCCATTGGGGTAGTCAGGGACAATAGAACGCCAAATGACACGATTCTTACAAATCTCTTTCACTTCTTTTACATTAATCAATTTCTTTATGCATGTTAGTCCATTGCTTTCAATGACCAAAAAACAAACCAACTTAACATTCTTTTTCTAATTCTCGTCCCCTCACCACATCCACAATTTTACCCCCTCCGTCAATTTCATTATTTCCATTCTTTTGAAGGTTCTTATTTCTACAGCATTAAGTCTATATTCTTGCTTCTTCTAGCAAAACCTCATCTTACATTAGTGTTGGTGCCAAAAGGTGGTTGGTCTCCGCGACGTCGGTATTAAACGTAGGCAATGATGACGTATTTTTGATTGACAAGCATACTATTTATGTATTAAATACTTGTTGTCGAAATAGTCAAGTATCCACAGATTTTTTTTTCTTATAAATACTAATAACAAAGCAACCAACTAGAAGAGTGGATGGAAAACAAGACGCATTGAAATTGTCATATTTTAAAATAATTAAATAATAAAGGATTCAATTCATTCTGATCTTTCTGTCGAATTTTGGCCCATTATCTGTTTGTTTTGACAGAAAATAAAATAATTTTAATATTGACATTGATGATCCATTCTGATTTCGTTTGTCTCTCAATACACCCCTCTCATTTACCGTCTACAGTTTTATAAGTAACTAACCTATACCATAAGAGAGCAAAGAAAAATGTTTAACTTTATCGCACTAACATTATTCAGATATTCAGCTATCATCTCAATAATAGTCCGTTTTCGCAATGTTCACACGTGCGATAAATAGTTACAATTACATTATGTGTTTCTAGAAAATGATGCTTTAAAAAGCAAACCAGCGATCTTCTTTTCAAAGTTAAGTTAAATATTTCAAATGGATTTTCATTAAATAGTATAATTTATAGAGACTAAAATAAACATTGGAGGAGCGTCACCAAAAAAAATCGTGTATTTTTTACACTTTCATTATTAAATTGTATTTTAAATATATCTGATTCCTTTAAATTAGGCCATAGATTACTTGCTGTAAATCACGTTTGCCATTCATACATTCATTTGTAACTGTTTAGTTGTTACTTGGTAATTAATGCACTTCACATGAAGTTAAAGATTTGGAGTTCATGTCGTGAGGCACGCAAATGTCTTACTTTTTTTGGTCAGCCATAGATGACACATCAACTATCGTCATTATGATAAATAAAACCAAGTGCACGTATTAAATTATACAAATAATATTGATAGTAAATCATTATTTATTATGTTAATAGAACCTTTTCTTTTCAGAACCCGAACCCCGAACTGAATCCGAGCCACAAGCGAGTGGCAGCGAAGAAGGAACCCAAACAGTGCAGCAACAAAGTGACGCCATGGGTAATACGACGTCTGACCGTGATCAGAAAAAGAATGTCGAGCAAGAACAACACGATAGAAATATGCGAGAACTACGGCGCAAACAAAACAAGAAGCTAGAGTCATCCGATAGGGAAAGGGAAGAATTATCGGAAAATAAACAAAGCGAGCAAATAAGCTCTAAGGATCAAGTTATGGAAGAACAGGAAACGGAGCAGAAACAAGTAGTTACAACTATTAAAATTGAATTCAGTTCCATAGATGAGGACGGCAAAGAACTTGAAAAAGAAACTTCGCCAGGGTGTGAAGATGAAAACAACAAAGAGGCAAACGAAAAGGACAATAATGACTCAAATAACCATACAGAGACAGAAAAAAACATTGAAGAGGATACTCTGATTTTGAATGAGGATAATGACTCTGAGCAGCAAAAACAACATCCGGAAGAAGAAACAGAAAATCAGGAAATTTTAGAGCAGGAGGAACAAAAATATAAATTTTCCTTATTGGAAGACAATATTCACTGGGAAACCCCTAACGGCTGCGTTTCCCAACTCCTTGTAAAGCACAATGGCAGCAAAAATGCAATTAAAGCTGACAACAAACCCGTCACACGAACAAGAGAAGAAACTGAGAAGATTGTCCAGAGTAAGTTTTTGTTACAATTTTATTTACTTCGTATAATTGGGTATTAAAATTTTTTGTAGTTTGTAGTACTGGAATTATCCAGTTATTTCTAGGTCTCAATTCGTATTAAAAACACAAATTAAAGATAATATACAATGTGCAACCTGTGATACTATTTGTATGAGAAGTTATGCCTATTTAATTATTTGCACAAGATGGCAACATCAATATTACACTGCTTTTTAGCATCATCTTGATATACAAGGATCACCAGCTCCGGCACTAGGTAATATTTAATTTTAGGCACAGATTCGATTTAGCTAATAAAATAAATTAAAAATAATAAAAATACTCCGAGAAAAAAACAGATCCCTTTAAAGAGTATAATCACCAATAAGTCACCAACATTCCTATTCAGTGCGCTTTCATTTGAGACCCCACTCGAGTATATATGCAGACGTCCGGTATCCTTCCCCTATACCTAAACGGCTCCACTGATTTCCATCAAATATGTCTATGAACACTCCCACATAAGTAACCTTCAATACAAAAAAAAAACTAAATTTAAATCAATTCATCTAATCAGACTCCAGGATGCCATAGACAGACAGACACGTCAAACTTATAACAACTCCCTCTTTTTCCGCCTTGGGTTAAAAATAAACAAACATTCTTAGAAATGTATGGTACCACCTGATTCATGAAGACAATACTAGAGGCCTTGTTGATTACCTGCGTCTGTAAATTCATAGCTATGGTTCGTTCCACGAATAATAGAACTTGTCCTTTCTAAAATTCATGATGACATTTTTTTATGCCCGTAGGTATATTACGTAGTTTATAGTTAATCTTTCGTTGGTTTCGTTATAGATTTGGACTTTCTCGTGATGGAAATATATATGCATAAATCAAATACTATTATCGAATCTATACATTCAGATAACAATAATTAAGTTATGTGTAAGCCTAGTTTAGTAACTATGTAATAGGCTATTTTTAAAACGCTTTTTTAGTTTATATTAATTTTTAAATTTTACAACGTTTCAGAACTGCATGAAGACTTAGTATCGAAAAAAATCAGCTTTCATGAGGCTATTATCAGCTACTCAGATTGTGCGTCTCGGAAAACTCACGGCGTTGTCATAAAAACTGAGGACGAAGAAGTTTACCACAAGCTCCGAGCGACTGCAGAATCGTTGAAATGCAATGAAGTGAGCGAAATATTAGAGACCTGCTACGGTTTCCACATCTTGTATTGTAGTAATTAGATGAAATAGTTCGCAATGCTTGCTTCAGCGAGTGCCAAACTGCGAAAATACTGGCCAAATGTTTAAAAATGTTAATCATATTTGGTGTGAAATATTTACCTTCTCTGGCCCCATGTACTTTTGTGCATGGTCATACATGATGCACCCACACTTGCACTGTTCAAAAGGTTGTGTTATTTTGCTTATTAAGAATGACAGTCATGGTTACCTACTTAATTTGAACTTTTGGAAGTTAACTATTCTACGTTTAAATTATTCTAAGTTAAATATATTTTTGCCCTCCGAATAATGTGATATACCTATCTGAAAGATAGGAATTATTTATTGTTTGTTTATAGATATGTAGGCACATTGTACATACATTGTAGCTTTATTTCTCTTAGCAGTCACTTATTTTCAGTAATGAAAGAGTAGGATATCATAAAGAAATTTATCATATTATACACCTAATATATTTTCGAAAGTTTTTTACTTTTAAGAAAAGTGTATTTTGTTGTGTATGTATTACTGTTATATATTTATTGCTTACATTGTTTATTATTTTATTAATAGATAATAAATTTTTGTCGAGTAGGTAAACCTACTCGTTTGAAGAATTTATAAAAGAGTGATTGTTTAGGAGTTGAAGAGATATCAGTCTGATCGTATTTATAACTTAGTTGGCTTCTTAATTTTGTTTTTTATTAAAACGAAGAGCTTATGTTAGGTTGACAGGGGGCCTACACGGATAAGGGTGTTTCATTATATTACTAATGTCTATTTACTACTTATTAGCGCAAGCGAACGTACAAAGGATGTTAACACTGTTGTAAGGTATCACCTGTTTGCAGCTGTAAGTGATGTTCTCTTGCAGTTGCTCATGTTAGGTGCACCTAACACAAAATAGTTTTAAGTAAGCTATTAACAATAAATCACCATGTCCAAGTAACAAAGGTGATAATAATATCTATTAACATTTACATTTATTGTAATAATGGACTATGTTAATAATGGAAATCTCGTCATTTTACTGATGTTGATATTTTGGCTCATGCAAATTTCTCAAAAACTATAAGTATCTATAGTAATTATACAAGTATACGTTGGTGTTAGTTTTGTAGTAGGTACTTATATACTGATTGATGTTTCACCTTCCCCACGCAAGTAGATTAGTTGGTAGGTTGTTTTGCAACAATAGAATTATAATTCAATGATTTGACAGGTTGCTATCGAGTGGCTCGGACATTAGGACCCAACATGACCAGTCCCTGTTTACATCAATCTGAAGCGACTACAGGACTCGACCGTACAATTTATTATGTTAGGAAAATCACAATTTACTGATTAATATGTTTTTAATTTATTCCAATTTCAGCAAATTATGTGCTGTGTCCAACTTAAACAGTTTTGCAAATGATTTGAATAAATTTTCACATCATTATATCTTTAATTAGGTAGACGGGGATTTAAATGTTTGCTCAAAATTAAAAACATAACCTGGACTTCAATTACTGGTGTAAGATGTATAGGTACCTATGCATATTAATGTAGGTACTTACTAAGCTATTTATTAAAAATTATTAACTACATAATGTCATAATCTATCTGTAATTGTGTGTTTAGTAAACTAGATTTTAGATTAGAGACAACCTAAAAAAAATCATAAAATATTATAAAATGATAAAAAAAAAATATAAAAGTTAATAAAATGTACAAAAAAAAACTAAATAAATAGATGTAAGCACATAGATTAGACAACCAAAAAACGAAAATGTTGAAAATTTGGTGTTCATATAATCGATGTCGAATAAGTATATAATCTGTGGTGGTGTTACTATTAGTAGATATGTATCTAGTTCTAAAACCTTCATAAATTTGCTCAGCCCCCTCTAAATTAATAAAAAATATTTACCTACCCTAGGGGTACCCATTTTATTTGTTCAAGCGTGAGCGCGTACCTAAATTATCTTTTCCGTCTATTTATCACAAAACCTTTCGAAATGTTTACTATTTACAACCCTACAGGGTGATTAAAAAACTGAAAGAGCGAGGAACTGATCGAATTTATATACCTATTTTCGTCATTTCTATTTTGGTTGTTCCCTTTACTTGCAATTAAAGTATACAAACATAAAATATTGTTTCAATGAAACCTTTACATTGAAAGCCAAAGTAATTTTAAATTGGTGTGCCATATTGAAATAGATCATCAGTGAATGTAACAAGGAGGTAAATGAAAGAAGGTAAATTAATTTATTTAGTAGACGAGTATGATTACGACAGATTGCAAGATGGATGAGGATTTTGCCCTGGGACCTCGACGCAAAACTCCTTGCGTCGCTCTGCTGGTGGTTCGAGCGGACGAGCGCCTGCATACCTTGGTGAAGTGCCCAGCGAATACCTAGTGTGTTTCTGTACCTACAATACACCTTGATGATGTTCTTGTGTATACACTTATAGTGTAAATCTAGACTAGAATTTATATTTGCGGAGCAAGCTCATTAAGGTACCGCAGCCTCTGACTGGAGTGGGAGAAGGAACGGGATGGTATGTAGTTAGTGAGAGTCTGACATTCTCTCTAGCCTCACCGTGGGCGAGAGAAGGAACATGATGATTTGTCCCCTTTAAAAACAGACTAGAACCCATGTTTAGTTTTGATTTAGAGAATGTGGATGCAGGAAGTAGGAATAAAAAAAAATAGAAGAAACAACGCATTATAAGATTCTTCTAAAAGACCAGGTGTAGATAGCACGGCGATATTCGACGACTAATTAACTAAACCGACTTAAATGTATAAGGGTAAGTATTCGGTCACTATAACATATAATGGTACATACTATAATAAAGTATTAGTAAGACTGAAAGTACGTACGACCTCTTTCAGTACAATACAATCTAAAAGATAAAAAAGCACGTCAATAATATTACCGTCAAAGTGTTGGTGTTAAAAATATTTTTTAAATAGTGTTTACATATTTGTTATCATGAATTGTACTTTTTTGTCATTTTTATTTCTATGATTGTATTATTTGCATTATTATCGAAAAGCATGTAGCTCCATCTATCCAATAGAGTAGGAAGTTTCAGTAAACCGTTCGGAGTTGAATCAGTGCAAACCAAATATACTAGATGGCGTTACTAGTATGTGTATAAGTAATTTTGTAAGCTAAAGCACTACGAGTAGTCGTACGTAAGTACCTAATAATGGTCTACCAGTGCCCATGTGACTTTTGTAATTTATGCTTAATAAGGTGAAAGGGTTTCTTTAAATAAATTAACTTGTATTTGTTATTTCAAATTACATTTTTGTAATCTCCAATCCGCAAGTAAATGGTGATTATGATGTTCTTGTCATCTTCGTGAGAAAGGAGGACGTAGCTCCATTTTTCAAGCTGGTGAAGATGGATTTTATCAAAACCGAAACAACCATGTCCTTTGTTAAGGTCCTTTTAAAAGTATTTGATGACTCATGTTTAGATAAGTAAGTACAATTTTAACAGAAGTAACTTAATTTTCAAAACGTAAATACGAACGTAGGTAAGTACATTTAGCGACCGTGGCCTAAAAATGTTATCGCAGAACAACCGGTTACCATTAACAGGTAAAAAAAAATATTACGCAAACAAACATCTTATCAACACTGTGAAAGCTATTTTTTTTACGTAAATAACTATAGGTAATGGGTACATTCTAATCTAATAAATAGGTAGATAGGTACTTACATAGTTATCCATATTCTTATAAACTATTGCGTTCTAATTTCAGTTTTATTTACATGATAATCAAAACATAAAGGTTGAAATAGGTACTTTTGTAACATCCAAACTAAATATTATAAATGCGAAAGGAACTCTGTATGTCTAACTGTCTTTTCTTCACGCCTAAACTACTGAACCCATTTGTGTGAAATTTGGTACAGACATAGTTTGTAACTCGAGAAAGGACATAGGATAGTTTTTAAACCAAAAATTTGCAGGAAGTCAGTTTTCCGGCAACACACTCGTAATTCCTTTGGTGTTGCGGGTGTCCATGGGCGGCGCTGATTGCTTACCATCAGGTAATCCGTCTGCTCGTTTGCCGAAATATTCCATAAAAACAATATGATCGGTTGGTATTTTCAAATCGCATTTTGCAATTCCTTTTTTAAAAGATTCATCAAATGACTTCTTTTAACCACGGCAGGGCGAAAGGAGTGTCAGACTGTTACTGATTAAAAACCAGTCAGTAACGTCATTTCGCCTCCTGGTCCGAGCTGGGGTTGCGGTTACACCAGCTCGCTCACAAAAGCAAATTGAATGACAACTTTTACTATTTGACTATGACATGGCTATTTTACGAGTACATTAATTACGTAAGTATATGATTGTGTTTCGCCGTGTGAGTGAGGTTACTGGAGGCCAAATCCTTCACCCTTCCTCAATCCCTTCCCAAACCCTAAAACTCCAAATCCCTAATCCCCAAAAGTTCGGCAACGCACTCGTAACTCCTCTGTTGCGGATGTCCATAGGTGGCGCTGATTTGCTTACCATCAGGTAACCCGACTGCTCGTTTGCCGACGTATCAAAGATATTTTGTTTTTTTATGTCTTAAACCTTTTTATTGGTCAACTAAAACACTAAACTATTCAAATAATAAAGCACTCAAACCGAATGATAACTGTGATAAACACGTTGTTTATTTTTGTTTTCTAAGTATCTGTGATCACGGACCGCCTGTCTATAAACCTGTTCCACATGGCGACCAAAATGTTACATAATACTTAATGTTAATGGCCGATATATCAATACATTTTATCGCATATTTGAAATCTGAAGGTCGTGATCAGCGTAGATTTAACGGATCAATACTTCAATGTGTAGGTACTTGATTTTCTAATTACTTATTATTATGAAATAAACTAACGAAAACATTTTAATCTATGATTGTATTTCATAAGGCGATTAGATTGACATCGGTACCAAATTCTGTCAATCTATCTACCTATTAAATTCTCCACTACTTAGGGATGCTCTGTTTATTTA